CCTCAACCCCCCGCCTCCCTTTTTTTTTTTGCTGCTGAAGTGGACAAGATTGCGAGTTTGGAGATCGACCTGCCTCCCAAGATGAAGGCGACCACGGTGGTGTGGGGGGCGTTGAACGAGAAGCTTATCGTCTCGTACGCGGACGGAACCATCAGAACGTTCGACCCCTACGACGGGACCGAGCTCGAGTACGCACAGGTAGGACTCGTCAAGGGAGGAGTTCGGGGGTGAGAGAGGGAGGCAGGGAGGGAGAAGTGTTCGTTTTTTTTCTTGGACAATACTGTTGCCGAATATGCGACTGCCGTGCGTGCCGCCACCTAAGCAGGGGCCAACCTACTCCGTCCAGCAACACGTACACTGGGAAGGCAAGGGGCGATGATGATGGTTTCATGTATGACCCCAACGAGGACGCAGAAATATGTCATTGTAGTACCAGCAAGCAGGAATTGCGCCGAGAGGCATTGTGGGCTAGGGAGGGGGGGGGCGGCGAATTAACGCGGCTCCGAGGTGGCGCAGGGTCTGCAAAAGAAAAATCGTATGGAATGAGTGGGTGGGTAGGTTGTCGAGTTGGTGTGCTCGCGTTACCCCCTCTACTCTCTCCACTCTCCCCCTGTCTCTTTCTCTCTCTTTCTTTCTCTATCTCACTCTCTCTCTCTCTCTCTCTCTCTCTCTCTCTCTCTATCTCACTCTCTCACTCTCTCTCTCTCTCTCTCTCTCTCTCTCTCTCTCTACCCCTCTCCCCTCCCCCACGCACACACGCACACGGTCAGCCTCCGAGCGCCGGCGATACTGACAAAGCCAACACCACCACACATTTGTCTCCCTTCGGTCTTTGTTCTATCTCGTGCAGGTCCACTCACAGGACATCAACCGATTGTGCATCAACAAGGACCGGACGCTGCTGCTTACTTCCTCCAAGGACTACACGTCCAAGCTTCTCGACGCTAACACCCTCCAGGTGCGTTCATGACACCAGGTCTTCGCAAGATAGTGGTGGAATCGCGTGAGATCGTCCTTCAGAAACGAATTGCGTCGTCACCATCGCGATGGCTGTGTTACCGTTGGCGGTGTTGGTTGTGGCGCTTGTGGCTGTTGTTGTTCTTGATGGTGTCGCTGGGTGCGATGCTTATTTTCGTCTCGTATTGGCCGCAGGGTGTGCGACCTGGCTTCTCAGAAGAACAATGCCCACAGGCGTGGTAGCAGGGTACGAAGCCAGCAGCTGTCGGCCTTGTGTGCTCCATGGTGCTGTAACGTTGCCTCATTGTTGTGCAACCCCCGTACCTCGACCACCCCTCGTGGCCCCTTCCTTCCGTATCCCAGGCATGGCTAGGGGTGTTGGTTTCCTTCTGCTTGCCCTGTTAGTGGCCTGCGCTTGCTGTCTGGTTTGCTCTTTGTCTTTCTCACGCCTACCCTCCCGAGGCTATACAGGAGGTGTCTTACGGAAGGTGTCTTGGACTTGCTCGTGTGGTGGGCCAAGCTTTGTACTACGCTGACTGAAGCGGAGACACACATGGCGGAGGGTTATGACCACCTGCTTGCCGTCCCCTGCGTTATTCTGCCGATATTCCTTGATATTTTCTTGACCACAGGTCCTGAAGACGTACAAGACGGACCGGCCGGTCAACGCCTCTGTCATGCACCCAACCAAGGTATGATGGGTCATTGATTATTCTTTTTTTTCCCTGCTGCTGCTGCTGCTGCTGCTGCTGCTGCGGACTCGCCCAACCCCGAACCACGCAGATGTTTTTTTTAACTTCCATTGTCAATGAACAAACATATTGCCCGCGATGATAGCAGCAACACTTCGTCGCTCCAACACTCCCACCAGCTTTTTTTTCTCTACCATGGCGTTTCTTTTTTTTTTCGTTTCGTTGATTTCTATCAAGTCGTGCCCCCGTCGTTTGGGGTAGTTGGTCTATGACCACGCAAGACGTCCGCGTCAGTTGGACAGTGCGGATATGAGCAGAGACCGAAACGGCTTTTTATCGCGAAGACCAACACCACAACAACAACAACAACAACAACAACAATGGCCGTGAACATGGCCCTCACCTTGCTTACCGCCGAGCAGGAACACGTGATCCTCGGGGGAGGGCAGGACGCCATGTCCGTTACCACCACCTCCTCGAACGTTGGCAAGTTCGAGTCCCGGTTCTTCCACATGATCTACGAGACAGAGTTTGGCAGAGTTAAGGGGCACTTCGGTCCGATCAACGCCCTGGCGATCAACCCTAACGGCCTCAGCTACGCTTCCGGATCGGAGGATGGGTGAGAGAGGCCCGTCAGACAGCAGATTCTCGGGGGGGGCGGGGGCGGGGGATGCGTACTCTTATGGTTTGCATTTCTTAAGCGGTTAGACCATTGACCACTGTCCCGGGGGGGTAACAGATGGGGCTTCTTTTTTAGCACGTGATGCCTCGCTTAGGAGGATGTTTCAAAGAGTGGTCTTCAGGAGTCCCAAGACGCTTTGGGGCGACTATATAACCAACCTTTGTTGTCGGCTCCTAACAATGTTGCTAGCGCAGTAATCTGTTGTGGATGTCCGATCTGTGCTTTTGTACGTTTGTGACACATGGTCGATTCGCATGTATGTTTCAACTCGAACGGCATCCGACGGCGCTTGCTGTCGGTTGCAATGCCGCTCATACGTGTGTTTCTGGTCATCCCCATTTCCTCCTACCGTAAATTTCCACCTTCCTGAATGCAGCAGTCACTTGTCCTCGCCCCCGGCCCTCTTGGAACGTCTTTCGACCCTCAATTGAAAGTTTGCATTCGGTCCGTGGACAACCTCTTCCCAGAATGAATCTGACTGTTATGCCTTCGGTCGCCCCCTTCTTTATTGCTCACCCCGCCCCTTTGCCTGTTCTGTTCTGTTCGTCTCTCTCTTCCTTCCGCTCTCTCTGTCTCTCTCTCTGTCTCTCTTT